TTCTCTCTGTATTTGCCTAGCTGGATCCAGTCACAAGCATAGATTTATTTAATACCATGAAACCTACAAGTAAAAAAATTGCACTGTTTCACAAAAAACAGCCCAACAAAAATCAATACTGTCTGGTTCTCATAGCCAGACATTAGTACATTTGTATAATTGATGTAAGCAGAGAGAGTTGCTGTATTCTGAGGACTGTTCAACAGACACCTAGCTGGAAGAACAAATATGAGAACTGGATGGAGGGGTGATTGGGGTGGGGGTGGGGGGTGGGGAGTGGAGGCTAGATCAGGTAAAAAAGGTTCTAAAATCTGAAATGGGCAAACCCAAGCATATTAACATGTTAACAACTAAGAGAGAGTCAAAAATAGAAATAAAATAAAATAAAATAAAATCACTGTCTCATTTTAATTCTAAAGCAAAGTGAGCTCAACACCAGCCAGTTTTGCAGCACTGTGTCCAAACTTTTTTTAAAGAAATATAAATAAATAAATGATAGAAGCTTATACACCAGACAATATATATACATCATATCCAGTACAGGAATGAATCAATAGTAACACTAAAAAAAAAGCTTCTATGGCATTTTGAAAAAGGTCAGATGATTAATTCTGTTTTAGTTCATATCCTAAATATCACCTATGTTCTTTGTTAGTCATAATGAGCTACTTAAAATGTCAACACGAAAACACTAACATGTGCCTGGGCTGTAACAAGTATTGTGGGAACAAATGCTTTATTGGCTGTGGGGAAGGAGAGAGGGAGGGAGGGAGGGGAAAGGGGTACGATGTCTGCTTTAGCCTCTGTCAGAATTTAAGAATTCTTGGATTTTGTGGGAAAATCTTGTCTGATTATAAAATCAACATGAACTTTGATTCATCATAAGAATAAGAAAAGTCTCATCAGGATGTGGTCTCACAATTATGTTCTCATCAGGTGTAACTTAAAACTAGCTTAATTACATAAAGTACCTCCTGGAGTGATACCACTTAGTTAAACCTATCCCCTCCCCCCCCCCCCCCGCCAGCCCCTCAGCAACCAACCACAACAGAAGAGGTCATAAAAGCATAACCATGTGGGGAATATTGCAATCAAGCCCCTATTTACATGTACATGCATCAAATTTTTCAAGGAATCTAGGTTTAAGATGAACCCAATATAGGGCAGGCTCATCTCTTGAGGACATGGACTGTCACCCCGCTGGGGACACTGGTTGATAAATGAAGTACATAACCATGAGAGCTATCACGTTACATAGCAATGACATGAGACAATTTAGAAATACTTCAGGTCCTCAGATATATGTAGATTAAAGTGCAAAAAGGAATGCAGTAGCATACACAACTTGATTAATCTTCCAGATTGCCTTGAGTGTTTACAGTTTGGGAAGGATAAGGTTACCAGTAAACCTTATCCACCTTCCTGGTTTAATCCAAACACCTGGTTGCACATGAAAATCCAGGTCAAAGCCCACTTGTAAGTAATGGGGCCACTGAACAGATAACTGCAACTGTGTTCAATTAGCCTTGTCACATGGAACTGGGCTAGACAATACAGCCCTTAATCTGTATTTGTGTGGCAGCACTGGTGAATGTTGTTATCCAAACACTGATAAGGTTGCAATGACACATAGTTGAATTTTCTGCACTTACAAGAGGGCACTATTGATAAATTAGTGCTATTGTCTGCTAATAGGTGTCTCCCCTAGTTTGGTGTTTGGAAATCTGCCCACATGCGTGTGACCAGGGAATTATATTGGATATAATTCCCTGGTGTGACTTAACTTATTTTCAATTTGATAGACTATATGTACTTTATTGCACTTCATATCTCAGGTTATAGGCAGGTTACCAAAGTATTCTACTTCACATGGGAAGAATCTGACATAAAAATTTGTGGCGCTCTTATAAACTGAACTATGGAATTTAGATCAATTGCCAACTGGCTAGCATAATTTTGGTTATTTCTATGAAATGGGATTGAATTAAAATGATGATGCATGCTAGCAATTAAAATAATAAAATTATGAATTAAAGGAGGAAAAGTCTGTCTATGTATCAATGCAGAATCTCCCCAACAAAACCTTCCACAAATACTTCCCCGTTATTTTTCATTTACTACAATCAGTAATCACATTTCACATTTTGGTCTGTCCAATAACTAGCTTCAGCAGTCATATCACTATGATGTGGCTATATTTACTAATATGTCCACATTATCAGTCATATGTACAGCAATTTATCAGTGTATCATTTATCAGCTGCTACTCCTGAATTGAGCTAAATACAGCACAGTGTAAGAACTGTGTACACGGCCTCCTTGCTACACCCTGAGCTTCAGAGCTCACTTGACACTAACCTTTTCACTGTAGCCTATCTCCATCGTGTCAAGTAACCTCTGATCAGATTCGATTGCCTCCGCCGCCCGCCAATCAAATTTAAAAGCCCGCACTCAATGACTCATTGAACGATCTAGCCAATGAACGTGAACGAGTCAAAGCGCGCTTTGTTCAAATCCGGACCAATCAAAGATAAGGCTGAATATCAGGGACTTGCCGTAACCTGTGGGCAGCACGCAAATAACATCGTCTCTCAGTAGAAAATGATGCAGGGCCTCAAACTGCTAGACCCTATGGTTTCAATTCCGATTTACTCATATTTTGCAAAGAATAAAGAGATAACTTAACACATTCTTTTTCGTAGTCACTCGCCTTGCTTTCTTTGTGTACGGTAATACACTCGGAACTACTCGGATGTCTCCGCACTCGACAATAACTNTATTTTCGTCAGAGGTTACTTGACACGATGGAGATAGGCTACAGTGAAAAGGTTAGTGTCAAGTGAGCTCTGAAGCTCAGGGTGCCTTGCTATGGCCTCTACACAGCTTGGGGTCTCTGATGACAGCAATTTTAAAGGGGGGTTCTTTTTCTCAAACAATTGCACCAATTTACTCTTCTAGTTAACCAAAAATGACCAATGAAGTTAAACCCAGATCAAATTTTGATAATGAGTAAGCCTTTTCCAGCCAAAAGAAAGTCTCTCTCTCTTGCTCTCTCCTATTCTTCCCTAATACCTACTATCCTGGTTGATACTTTTACCCTAATTTTTTATGAACTAAGGACAGAATCAGTACAGAATTGAAATCTGATACATGTGTAATACATAATAGTCCGTTAAACAGATTACTAGCAAAGGGCTGTATTCATATATAAATGAAACCATACACCACAGATACTGTTAACATTTCATACCTGTATGATGCTGTTAAGTGAAGAGGATTAATAATGTATGGCTTAAAGCTAGATGAGTCAGAATTCCCAGAATTTACAGTAAGCTTTTAACCCAATTTTCCAAGACCGTTGGTGACAAAAGAAGAAAAAATATTTCTAAAAAGATGAATTTCTTGCTGTGGTTGTGTTACTCTGTATAAATAGCTGATAAATGACTGAACAATCTTTGCTATTATTATATTATTTTATATACCAATCAAAAGAAACAAAGTGAGTAATTTTTCTTGTCACTTGTAAAGAAAATCTAAATATGTTCTCATACTTCTTCTTTGGTTTAATTCATTTTCTTGTTTATGAAAAAAAAAAAAAAAGTGGGCAGATAGCTGGCCCAACTTTATAACTATAAACAGGTGCAAAGGCACTAGCTACATTGACTACATTTAAAAAAAAAGTCGCATTACCCTGTGCCCAAAATTCATACTAACAATAGATGTTATGGTACAATGTTTGGTTTTTGTCGACTCTTTTCATCTTGCTTAACTCAGGCTCTAAAATAACATAGTAACCACATTATGTCACCTCAAAAGCCTTTTATATTGAGAAAAGAAAAGAAACGACGATTCTTCTTAAATTTCTTTTAAAATTCAAAACATTTTGAATTATAATTACTGCAAAATATTTTTTTGATTTTTAGAGGCATTACTGCACTACAGTTGCATAGGCAGATTGAAAGAATCCCTGTGTAACTGCATCCTCAAATTTTTTTTGACATTTTATGATAAGCACACGCTGTTCAACGTGACTCACCCATCGATTGCTGGGCGTTGCTAGCAAGCTAGATAAAAATTCTGTAACCGTTATGTTTTGAGTATCTAAGTGGTCGAGACTCCATGTAGGCACACTAGTAATGCCATCATGTAGGCATCTATGAGTTTTTGTTTCCAGTCGTGGATGCATACAGTTAGTACAGTAACTTCACTTCCTGGTTCAATTGAAAGGTAGGTTATTGATTAATGGATGACTCATCTTTACCAAGAACAAAATGAATATGAAACACTTCCTGAGTAGGTACTTTGAGTAAACTCAAAGTCCAAGTTATGAAAAAAAAATTAGAGCATTTTTTGTGACTTTTCTATAATGAAAACATACTAGTAGGACTCAAAGTTACAGTGACGGGCATCAAGTCATTGAGTATAAAGGACCACAGCTACAGTTTAAAAACCTATAGGAAAGCATATCTGTATAAAAAAGCACATAAACCAAATCAATTTTTCACAAAATGTGTCACCACTTACTGAAAATTAAACTTAGTCTAATGACTACTTTAACAGTCACGCATCTACATCTTATTAAACTTTTTAATCTTTTAAGAGCCTAAAACATAGAATAAACTTTCCCACGCTAAAGAGACAGAAAGGAAAAGGAACTTTGTTTGTGCTGATAAGCATGGTATTGAAGCAACAAAGAGGAAAAGAAAATTATTATCAAATGACTTAAAAAAAACTGAAACAAAAACAGGACTGGTATCAAGTCTCATTTCCCTTACATACATGTATGTATCCTCAAGATTTTTTTTAATAAAGATTACTGCAGACACAATTACCAATAATATCACTGTGCAAAGATAACATTTCAACAAAAGATGGGGCTTTGTTCCTTCATCTATATAGTTATCATGTCACAATATCATATATCTTTGTGACAAAATTATAATATTACTAGAGACAATATGTAATAAATAAATGAACTTATCTAAGAAATGATACAATGAATAAACAAAATAAAGAAACAAATAAATGAAGGTGGGGGGTAATTAGAGCAATAAGAAACAGGTGTTTTTGGATCAGGAATTTGCAAACAAAATTCAACATATAATAATAACAACGATTAAGAAAAAATGCTTGAACAAGATACACTCCCCTGAAACAAACACCTGTCTTTTAAGCTAATTATTTCTATATACCTTAGCGCTATCTTTGGGATCCTCCACCTTTTCCTCCACCACCTGTCCTCCACTCTCCACATTGGCATAGGGGTTCTCCCCAGGGTCATTCTTGTTCTCCACATTCTGGTATGGGTTCTCATCCTCATCATAAGCTGGCTTGGCTTCAGCTGGAATGAGAAATAATAATAATAATAATAATAATAATAATAATAAAGAGTCTGGTTTATTTCTATTGCTATATCTCTTCTATTTCTTAATCTTTCGAAGTATCTGATTTTCACTTTGTTTTTATTTTATTATTTGGAAAATAAAGCAGTAAAAAATGTATACTTTGTATATTGAAAATAAAAAATCATTTTGTAGTCATCTAGTGTATAAAAAATTAAATAAGCATGGGCAGCTGGGATTTTATGATTAACCAGGTTAACCCTTTGCAAACTCGTCTGTGAAGAATGCTGGCATAACAAAATCTCAACTTCCATGTCATCAATATGAGCATAAACACCGACTTAATCTAAAGACCTTACTTCACAACCAATGCATGTATTTTTGTCTCAAGTTGATTATAATCCTCACATCAATTCTCATAATTTCATTTTAAATAATATGTGAAAAAATATAAAATCATCATCCAATTCAAACCTACCTTTCTTTTTCTTCTTCTTGCCTTTATCAGGCTGGGCATACAGGGTAGTCAGTTCTTCGTCCTTCTCTGAATAACAAAAGGATAATAATAATAATAATAATAATACATGATTTATTACATGGGTATGACCGAGCTATATTTTAATCAAAAATTGAAACATGAGCAATAACCTATCCTTGCTTACTTACAGTGACATATTTCAGAAATCTACACAAGTAAATGCATAAAATAAATAATACTTAAAAAAATGAAAATGAAAAGAAAATGTGTTCATAAAAAGTAAAAAAAAAAAAAAAATGTTAAACTATGTTTACCCTTTCCTTTCTTCTTTTTCTTCTTTTCAGGTTTGGCATACAATGCACCAGGGTCTTGTTCTGTAGTACGAGAGAGTAAGAGGTTTAAGAGCTTGGACCCTTTTTTTTTTTTTTTGGAGGGGGGGGGCGGAAATGAGAGAAACTTCATCTTTATATATCAGTAGCGAAGCTGCACATGCATCCCCACACGTAGCAAAGTAAAATTACAGCATATGCAAGTAAAAGTTATTTTTTGTTTATTATAAAATACATACATAGTGCAAATTATAAGGACTAGCATACAAGTAAGGCAATGTACCATGCATTTTCATCTTCAAAGAATAGAGTTAAAGATTTTTTCTGTGTTGTACTTCATCCAGACATACATGTACTGCAAATGTTTGTACCACTGACACATTTTTTCTTTTCAATCTTCTTAAAATTGAAAGTTATAAAGGGCCCCCTAAAAACTCTAAACTAAATTTTTAGTCTCCCTTTCTTATTCTAATGCAACGCAGATTATTTAAGAAATCTTTTCCCTTAATGAGAATAACAAAGTATGACAATTAAATGCTCTCTAAATCTTGAGACCCATACCCTTGTTTCCTGCCTCGGGCACATAAGCTGCAGCCTCCGCCCCTAAGATGACAAAATGACAGAGTCAGTCACAGCTGAGGTGAACACCTTAGTATTCTTCTCATAGATCACTACAGCTATTAACAGTGGAAAGCTAACTAAAGGCAAATGCCACGACAGCTTCCCTCTTCCATTTAACAATGTCTGCAAGAAGTCTTAAAGATAACTTCAAATTTATTTCTTATTTTCCAGGTTGGAAAAAAGGGTATTAAAAATAAATAAATTCAAGAAAAAAAATTGATATTTTTTTATAATTCATTTTAAAGTTTATTTCAAAGGGAAGGTGTTTCTTATCCAAAAACATGTGTCACACAGAAATGAGTTATAAAATCACTACAAAGCTGTTTTGTAACCAGATAGTTAAGTGAAAAGCATGTTTTAATCACACACATGACTAAGCAACAGGAATGAAGCAAAGGAACCTTTCAAAAACACATTTATAACCATGCAAACACAAAGCAAGAAAACAGTCCCACAATAAAGTAAATAAAAGAAATTCCAGAAAATCATAAGCATCATACAAACTCCTTATGCTCATGTAATATTTGCAGGTAGAGTATTTCCTTCACAAAGCAGGTAACACAATATTATATGAATATATTATCATTATACATACCAAAGTGAATCAGAGCACCCAAACAATTTTATAACAAGCTAGTACATGTACAAGAAATATCGCAATGGACAATTGTCTTTAAAAAATTGCAAAAAGATGAAGCAATAACACTTCACATAAAGTTGTTTTTAAATTATTGAATTGCTGATGAGTTTTTCAAAGCAACAGGTACAACAACTTTGTCGCTACAGTAAACTAAGAAAGCATAAGATTGGTTGGCTACTATCCCATATGAAAAATTTCCACAGGAGGTCCTATAGAACTGCAGCATGGGATTCTATAGGAATCCTACAGGACTCTTTGGGACTCTACGACATTTTATCAGATGTCCCATAGGAAAAGTATGTCATAAAGGACGCTGTAGGATTTCCAGCCATTTTCTTATGGACCCTTTAGGAAATTTCCATAAGGGATATACTGAGAAATTCTCAGGAAACAAGCAGTGAAATCAACAGCAGTGGATCATCCTAACATTAGGAATTTAGACTGGGTTCCCATACTTAGATCGATCCATCTGGATCGACCTAACTCCCTGGGGCTTCATGCTAAATTGCTATCAGCTCAAGAGGCTTAAATGTCTGTCACACCTACCGAATCAGCTAGAGGTAAAGATAATTACCCCTTAACAGCTTTACTAGGCGTGACAGACGTTTAAGACGGTTAGTTTGATAGCAATTTAGTGAGTCTCCCCTGGGAGATTGATCGGTCTATATTTCTGTGGGAATGGTCCCTAAAGCAATTAACTATAACAAAGTAGTTTTTTCTTTATTTTAAAATTATCTCTACTACTGTCTAGAGAACTTCTCCATGGAGAGTTATCAACAAGTTGTGGACACTACATGTATATGCTAGTACAGAGCTGTTAGAAGAAACCTTCACCTTCTTTCCCCTCCTCTTTCTTAGATTTATCTGGTCTAGCATACAAAGCATCGAGAGGAGGTTCAACTGGCAAGTTAGAGGCTAGAAATGATAGAAATTAGTCCAAGAACAGTACCAAGATTGACATCATAGACAACATTCATGCTAACAGTTAGTAAAATTGAAAGCGGTCTTAAATAATAAGAGAAGAAAATAATCAAAATTGAATCTGCCTTTATTTTGAAACGCAAAAATTGATAAAGTTATTTTCTTATTGTGTACAATAAAAGTAATGAAAGAAAGATGAACTGTAACATATTGGCAATGGCCCGAATATATGACCTGTTCAGTAAGTTTGGTATTTTTTTTTCACCAATTTCACCAAGGGGTATCAGACAATCTTTCTTTCGATATATAAAACATAACATCTGAAAACCTTTTCTAATAATTAAATAAGACTTAGACATAAGACATAAGACTAAAAGTAAATATTTTCAATAAATGGTTGGTAGTGAAAAACACAATTTAAGGTTGGAGCTACATGTGAGGAATTGATTTTCATCTTATAAAGTTACAGACAAAGCAGATGAGGTCAAAATGAGTGAAACATCCCTTAGTTCAAAAACAAAGTCCTTGTAGAATAAATGATAACAAATACTACTTTGCATCCCAGGGGTGCTCTTTTTAAATATAAACTCTTAAATCAATAAAAAAATTAATAAATGCTGAGTTTACCCAATCTCATCATTTTTTTTTTAATGGAAGAACACTTTTCATTAACCCTCAGACCTCTAAAATCCATATTTCTCAAGTATCCAATCAAACTGTTCTTAAGAGTACTACTTAATATACATATTACATACCTCTTTTTTCCTGTTTTTTCTTCTTGTCTGGCTGGGCATACAGCCCTTCCACTCCAGCTGCCCCTAGATATACAATGAGAGACCATGGTTAGTTTTATATTCTAATTATTTCAAGTACTATGTTGATATATTATCAAGAGTTTGAAAAAAAAATCAAAACACATCTGTGGTCTTTCATTGAATATTAAGTAAATGGCAAAATTTGTCCTCATTACACAACAAAACTCAAACATTCAAAGTACATAAATTACGAATTTAGCCATATTAACAAAAATCAAATATAACTTTTAAAAGTCTAGTATAAAGCTGTCTGAGTCAATCTCAGTTATCACTGATTAAATTGTACAATGCAAGCAACAAATAAAGAAAAACTAAAAGCATGCACCAACAGCATAAAGAAGAAAATCACATTTAATATCTGAAAAATAAAAGGAGCAGAGATTTTAAAAAAAAATTACATGTATCCAAGACATGCCCCACTGATTCAAGGAAGGGTAGCAGCTTAAAATGATGCTAAAGCAATACCCTTTCATCAACAGGAGGACGAAGTGTGAAGCTTTTGTGTTGATAAATAAACAACTCTCTTTAACATCCCAAAGCACGGACAAAATGCATGCTGTAAATTTTAAATAATTCTTACTTTTATTACTTTTAATTAATTTTTTAAAAACCTTTTATAACATATTGCAGCTATAAAATATCCATTCCCTTCAACGACTATAGGTTCCAATGATAAAAACAAACCTCCCACAAACATTTTTCCTGTATTATCAATAAATGCTAGTAATGCAATGCCTGGCAGTGAACTTCCAGCATTAACCCTTTACTGCCCACAGTGAAAATACTCTTAGTATAGTTAATGCAGTGAAAAGTAAAAATACAAGATATTATATTCACTACTGCATATGCAGTACAGTATATGTACCACACATGTGTTCCACTTTCAGAGAATGGAAAGAAGTTAACCCTTTGTATCTTATGCAAGCACCTTGAATTAACCCTTTTAGCACACAAAATGGACTGACAAATCAAAATTATAAGAAATTTCAGGATTTAACTGCAGCCTTAGATGGGCCAAATAAAAAGCAAAAGGAAGGTATTTCTTTTAAATACCAAACCATTTCTATGCTAACTAGTATTAATAACCTTCTAAAGCCAAGTACATTTTCAATGCCATACAAAAGCCACCACTCTTTCACAACCTGAAGCACAATTTCTAAAAAACTAAAAGCAAAACTTCCACAAATATTAGGGCATGCAAAATGAGAACCTATTGATATAATCCATACAGTCAGAGGAAAACAACAAAATTTAACAAACCTCCTCCCTGGTTTTCTGTAGCACTGTGCGTAACGGCATAGGGTGAATCAGGCGGCACGATGTCACTCCCGCTGCCATTGTCATCCACACGGCGATACTCCCTGGCAACATAACCCAAAATAAGCATCAACACTAGGCCAAGAAAAAATTCACTTACCCGCAGTTTTAGCTGGTTTAGCAGCAATAGCTGGCTTAGCAGCTATGAGCGGGCGGCCATTTGTAGCTGAGGGGTGAGGAGACTCGGCGTAAGGGTTAATATCTTCCACGTCCCCGTCCTCTAACGCTGGGTTAGATACACCACCATTTGAGCCAATGTAATCATTGCCAACAACCAACGAGCTGTAGAAGAGGCAAGTTTTTTTTGGTCTATAGTTAAGGTGCATGCCCTTAAACATCTATGTCTGTTTTAGTTTACAAAGACTGAGAAAGATGAAAATTAAATTATTTTTTACTTCCAAAGGGCTTGAAAAGGGTTATCTGCTACATTCAAAAAGTGATTCTGATAGCCAACTTACAACAGCCAAAATGCAACCATAGGCTTTTAAGATATTTGTGCTTACAAAATTGTCTAAATTATTACAAGTAAAATTTGCAAATAACATACTTACTTATTTGCAGACATCTCCACTTCAGATCCTAAAAAAAATAGAAAAACAATACTGATGTTAATCATTGACAAACTATTTTTTTGTTAAAGATCTGATAGAAAGAATATTCATTAATGTGCAATCAAAGTATTCAAAGTCTGTAAAATGCTCAAAGCAGGTAAGCAAACAAGAAACAAATACAAACCTTTTTGTAGACTTTTCCTGCGACGAATGACAAACAGAGTGACTACAGCAACCACAATAAAGGCAATAACAGCAGCTACAACTGCTCCCACTATTGGCCCTACCATTCCACCATCATCATCATTTGAAGAAAGATCTAATAAATATGCAAAAATGACAACTGTAAGTATTACATGTATCAACTTGCAATAAACTGATCTCTAAATTTTTAACTGAGCTTGCAGAATTAGAAATAAATAATTAAGGTGTGAATTATATCTAATTCATCTTGTGGTTACATGATAATTGAAAAAATTAAAAATGGACAATTTTACATCTTTTCAGCTTAAAATGAAGAACAATACATTTACCAACCTTGAGCAAAGGGTTCAGATTCATACACAACATCATCTCCTTGGTAGACTCTCACTGTAAATGTGTATTCTTTCCCCTCTGTGATGTTAATCACTACCGATGTGCTGCTATTATCTACACAATGCTCCTCACATATCAGGGTATCCTTTACACAGTACTCGATTCCATATGATGTTACTTCACCCTGATCTGGGGCTGTCCAAGACACAGTTGCAGTATCCTTTACTACTTGTACAGATGGCTTATTTTCATTTGTCTCATCAGGGATAATGGGGCGGACTGCAAGTGTATATAGGACACAAGACTGAGTTTACGTTTCATACTTGATACACATGTAGAATAATTGAGAAAAGTTTATATATATATTCAATTCATAATTCAATACACTTAAAAAAACAAAAAATCATTTGTGGTAATGATAGACTTGTGTACAACTCATTTAGCTCTTGCTGTACATACCGGTATGTGTTGCATAATGTCCATTTAAGCCATGTACAACTGAAAGGGGTAACCCACAATCAAGGGCTCAGGAATTTCAGTTTTAACAAGTTTAGGTGTTCAAGCATTGTACATGAATGTGGACTAAGTTTTCATTCCCAATGGAATCATCATTCTATGCAGATCAATCTAACTCTGTGAAGACTCTTGCTGAATGCAATCAGATTAACACGTGTAACACTCTTGGTGTTGAGTAGAATACAAACAAGGCAGCAAAGCTGTCAAATGTACAGACAAAAAACAGAAAATAAAGATGCAAACAAGGCAGCAAAGCTGTCAAATGTACAGACAAAAAACAGAAAATAAAGATGCAAAATAGGTCATTTTGTCAATTTTGATGCAATAATAAATAATGCAAGTAATAGCACTGTCAGTCAACACTGAATTTTAATCATGCACAACAGGTANATCCTAAAAAAAATAGAAAAACAATACTGATGTTAATCACTGACAAACTATTTTTTTGTTAAAGATCTGATAGAAAGAATATTCATTAATGTGCAATCAAAGTATTCAAAGTCTGTAAAATGCTCAAAGCAGGTAAGCAAACAAGAAACAAATACAAACCTTTTTGTAGACTTTTCCTGCGACGAATGACAAACAGAGTGACTACAGCAACCACAATAAAGGCAATAACAGCAGCTACAACTGCTCCCACTATTGGCCCTACCATTCCACCATCATCACCATCTGAAGAAAGATCTAATAAATATGCAAAAATGACAACTGTAAGTATTACATGTATCAACTTGCAATAAACTGATCTCTAAATTTTTAACTGAGCTTGCAGAATTAGAAATAAATAATTAAGGTGTGAATTATATCTAATTCATCTTGTGGTTACATGATAATTGAAAAAATTAAAAATGGACAATTTTACATCTTTTCAGCTTAAAATGAAGAACAATACATTTACCAACCTTGAGCAAAGGGTTCAGATTCATACACAACATCATCTCCTTGGTAGACAATCAGTGTAAATGTGTATTCTTTCCCCTCTGTGATGTTAATCACTGCAGATGTGGTGCTGTTATCTACACGATGTTCCTCACATATCAGGGTATCCTTTACACAGAACTTGATTCCATATGATGTTACTTCACCCTGCTCTGGGGCTGTCCAAGATACAGTTGCAGTATCCTTTACTACTTGTACAGATGGCTTATTTTCATTTGTCTCATCAGGGATAATGGGGCGGACTGCAAGTGTATATAGGACACAAGACTGAGTTTACGTTTCATACTTGTTACACATGTAGAATAATTGAGAAAAGTTTATATGTGTATGTATGTATGTATGTATGTATGTATGTACATGTATATGAGGACATAACTGAAAAAAGATCAAGTGTTTATTTGCACAACATATTTCTGCCAAAAACAAGCACTTTTTCATTAATTTTGCAATTCCTCTATTCGAAATTCTTTTATCTGCCTTGGGGCAGAGCATGGGCAGAGCATGTTGGAACAGTAAGTTGAATTGAATTCTGGTGACAAGTCATCCAGTGGAGTCAACATCAAGAGAGGTACATTTCAAGGAGACACATAATTCAATTCACTAAAAAAATCAAAAAATCATTTGTGGTAATGATAGACTTGTGTACAACTCATTTAACTCTTGCTGTACATGTATGTTGCATAATGTCCATTTAAGCTATGCACAACTGAAAGGGGTAACCCACAATCAAGGGCTCAGGAATTTCAGTTTTAAGAAGTTAAGGTGTTCAAGCGTTGTACATGAATGTGAACTAAGTTTTCATTCCCAATGGAATCATCATTCTATGCAGATCAATCCAACTCTGTGAAGACTCTTGCTGAATGCAATCAGATTAACAATTAATT